CTAATATTTTGGTTTCTAGCACAAAATACATCTTAATGTTTTGGTTTCTAGCACAAAAAAGTATCATCACGTGATGCAAGCAAGTGTTTTTAAAGTATACATTAAAAAAAGAAATGATATACCTAAAAGTAATTATTGATCAGTAACTCTTGGTAAAAAATTATATAAAAGGTTAAATCAAATAAGAGGTCCTCCAACGTTTTTAACTCATTCCCTATATTCAAATTTGAGGAGCTACAGTTGTTCATAATAATGTTAAATATTTAAATAATAAATTAAGCAGTCTTTGGTAGATGCAGTAGAAGTGAATACTTCAGGTTCTGAGCATGCAGCTCTTGAGAAATCACTCTATTACAGCAAACTACAGTAAGCTGAATTCTGTTGGAGATATGAGTTGCAGCACATTTTTTGTTTGTTTGTCCTTTGTGTGAAGTTAATGCTTTTGTGGTCTTTAAATCCTTACATTTGTTGGTATGAAACCAAAGTAGCTCAGATTAGCCATTAAACCTATCCATTGCCAATGCTGATGAATGAAGTACATGGTGTAAATTTATCCTACCCTGATTCTTGTTCTTGTTCGCAGGGAGATCATTTATCAGCTTTAAGACAAGCCCAGCGTAGAGAGAATGCACTGCCCATTGTCACTGCTGGAATGAAAGTTCAGTTTGAAAAAGACACAGACATTATCAAAGACATTCGTATATTTTACGGCGGAGTTGGAGCAAGCACAGTGTGCACAAAAGCCACCAGTAAAGCATTAATTGGAAAGTAAGCCAATAAAAAAAAGTACAAATATTGAAAAAACTTTTTTTTTTATGAACTAGCAAAAAGCTAGAAATCAAAATAATATTTTTATTTTAATATGTTGACTTCAAAATGGTTTTGGACTTACAGGCTGTGAAAATAGAGGCAAGGGTACCAATACAATTTGTGGTCAGCCATCCAGTCCAACTAGTGCTTGGATTGGAGGTGTCTTGATGTTCTGTAGGTTTGGTTGTACATATGAATGACTCAAACTGTTAGGTGAACATATAAAACCCTTTATCATCTGGATAAGGCAGACATTGTGTGCAGACAATAGCAGTGGTTGCACAGTGACCACATGTGCACAGATGCCATCATCCTTTTTCATATTAAAATGTTTATTGAAAGTTTTCAGAATATAACAAAATACATACATACAATACAGTGAGCATACATTAAGACAATCACACTACATACGATATCCAAGGTAAAGGGGGGGGGCACAGGAGACGTAGAGGTATGGGGGGACCTGGTCGGGGTGCCTTTGAGTAAGCGTGGCGCAATATGCGCATTCGGGCATGTGGCCAAACAGTGCATAACAATACAGTGATGGAACCTCTCAATGGAACATGATAATCATTTTACCGGAAGCGTAGTATGTTAGGGTAAGAGACAATAGCCAGTTTTACAGAGTTACTAATAGGAAAAAAAAACTAAAAAACAGGTTTTAAAGCAGACCATATCACGCAGATAGCATTGAGATATATTCATCCTGAGTTTTAAAGTGCAGCCATCTTGCCCAGGTCGTGTAAAAAGTGCTATATGTGTCCTTACTAGAGTGATGGAGTTCTTCCATCAGACGCAAATGATCCACCCGTGTCAACCACTCTGCCACCGTGGGTGTTTGGTTTGAGCGCCAGTGTGTGGGGATAAGAGCTTTCGCTGCATTGAGCATAAAGGGAATTACAGATCTCTTATACGAGCGCATTGAAAGGGGGTTAAGATGGAAGAGGCACAGCCAGGGGTCCATGTGTGTAGGTATACCGCTAATGGTGGAAATGAGACGGGTGACGTCCCCCCAGAACTGTTGTATGTGCTGGCAATCCCACCATAGGTGAGCATACGTGCCTTGAGCTCCGCATAATCTCCAACACAGCGGGGAGTTTGCCCGGTTGATGGCATGGGTGATGGTAGGTACCTGATACCACCTAAATATCCTTTCCAAATCCTATGGCGACCCCACGCCCCCGCTTATCAGTGTGGAAAGTACCCAGAGTGCAAACGTAGGGCAGAATCATGAGAGATATGAGTCTCCTGCAAGAAAACCACGTCAGCCCGCAATCTTTGTAGCTCAGCCAATACTTGGTGCCTTTTAGCGGGAGATGCCATCATCCTGTGGCCAAGTTTTTCATCCAGCTCCATTGATACTACATATTGCATGGATACTGTGTAAATATTTGGTGAATTGCTATCTATACTTAAACCAACTGTTGTCAAGGTTTAGGAATTTGGTGTTTAGGCCCAAAATGATATACTCTGTCACACAACTGGCCTAAGAATGGGCTTAGATTGTTTAGGTGCATGATGTTGTTGAAGCTGCATGTTAGATGATAGCTTAGTAATGATAATAGGAGAAATAATTGCCTTTTATTACGTTTTAGGCACTGGAATGAGAACATGCTAGGTGAAGCCTGCCAACTAATTCTCAATGAGGTTTCTCTGCCACCTTCAGCTCCTGGTGGGATGGTTGAATACAAGAGAACATTGATCATCAGCTTCTTTTTCAAATTCTACCTGGAGGTACTGCAGACACTGGACCAGCTGGTAGGTTTATAAAGGATCCCCAAAGAGATTCATTTTCACTGTCAAACATTTGTACTGAAATCATCATTGCCTTCTTTCCCAGGATCCTAGTAATCCAGATTTCAGTGCTCTGAAGAGGTTGCAGTCAACACCTGTGGCGCACACTCAGACTTATCAGGTAAAAAATTAAAGGGATTCTATAACAGAACCAGGTTCAACCTAAGTAGAGGAGAAAGAAATGGTGAGAGCAAGGAAATGCCACTAAGTGTAACTTGTGTGCACAATGTGTGGAATCCAACTAGCCGATCACTCATCTCATAATATTGCTACTTTGCACATGTATCAGTAGAAAAAAGAGCTTAATAAACTGATCTCTGTAAGATGAATTCTTCTTTTGATCATTCTGGTCATGTATAGGAAAGCAGTACAGGTTTGTTGCTGTTGAACCCAGCATATCTTGTATAACTAAATGAATTTTAACTCTTGCTGCAGCACTTACCAGTTAACAAAAAAAACCCCATATGTAATACTGTATATACAGCCTGACTGCTTATTTATTATATTCATTACAGCAGTAATGAATATCAACAATGGAATTGGGGTATAGGAATTCTGTAAAGTGACCCATGAATTTCTTCTACTAGAATGTCCCTCAAGATCAGTCTTCCCAGGACCCTGTTGGAAGACCCCTTGTGCATCGTTCTGGAATCAAGCAAGCCACAGGAGAGGCAATTTACACAGATGATATGCCATGTGTGGATGGAGAGCTCTTTTTGAGATTCGTCACCAGCTCCAAAGCACATGCTAAAATCATGTAAGTCAGAAGACAGCAGACATATTTAGAGATTGGCTGATAGTATTTAGATCAAAACTAAATCCTAAACACTCTTATGCAGCATCACGTGTCCTAAATTTCATTGTATAAATGATGTAATTACTAGTAATTGTTGTAACATTATAATATGCTACTTCCTGGTATAACTCTTTATTTTAGCTGAATAAAATACCTAATAATAAAGATACTACTAGTTTTGTCACGTTATAATTTTCTTGTTCTTTATAAGACACCTTATATGCGTCTGTGTCTCTGTTACTTTAGATCTATGGATTTTTCTGAAGCTCTTGGTCTGCCAGGTGTAGCTGCTGTTATTACAGCAGATGACATTCCTGGCACCAAAGAGTGTACTAATGATGATGGATCAGCGCCCTTACTGGCACAGGACAAGGTATAAAAGGGTTCAAATGTTTAAAATGCGCACTGTACATATGAATATATTAGTGTTTGGCTTTTTAGGCTTTTACACCTACAAGTTTGCTGATCTGTATGCCCTCTGGAACTTCATGTATACCTTTCCACTCAATAGGTACATTCCAGCTACCTAGCTGCCATAGGGGAAGAAAGTGCAAGAAATGTGCAGTGATGTTTTTTTTTTTTAAGAAAACCTGTAGCAATAGAACTATCATTTTTAAAAGGGCAGGTTAGCTTTGGAAGCCTTTTTTTTATGTGGCTTTTGGGTAACTGTAAATTGCACTCCTCCAAACTAAGCCCTCATTTTCCCCAGACATTACCCTGAATGTGCAGAAAGCTGCCCTATCAAGACGTACATCAGACATGTGCCCACCTTTACTTCAAGGATGTATTACATCAGACGTCATTACATAATATTTCAATTCGGCTAGTGTAATTGCATGACATCTGTATTTGCACTGATTTGCTGCAAGCCAACTGAAAGTTGAAATCAAGCTTGCTGTGATAGTACAAGCTTTGTAATCTGATGAACGAGAAGGAGGCAATTTGGTGGGCCTACAAGAGGGACATTGCCAGGCTGGTTCAAAAGCTTTGAAAATTTGTAATTGCTCTCTTTTTGCTTTACAATTATATAGCATTGCAGGGGTGGATAGATCATAAGATTAAAATGTGCATTACTTAACAAAACTTTAGGCAAGCAAGATTCCTATGAGTCTCTAACTGCATATCTATCTGTTTGGCTGGACATGTTAAAAGTGACGCTGTCAGTCAATTAAAAAAATTGAGCTGAAAGTCTCCTGTGATAGAAGAGCTAATATACTCACCTCTCTAGCAGCCCATGTCTCCAAACTTCCCTCCTTTTCACTGCTGCAGCCTCCATCAGTCCCTAAAGCATTAACACTTCACAGAGGTTTGGATGTCTGTGTCCCATGTCGTGCCACAGTGGTTTGATCCTTCAACCTTCCACATCCCTACTCAACATTTGACTGACCTTCCAGGAAGTGTTGAATCCCAAAGAGTTATATAGAACCTGCAATTTTGTAATGTGGAGAAGGTAGAAGACATGAGCCACCAGAGGGATGAACACAAAAGCTCTTTAATTGTAGAAGAGTTGCATCTCAAATTTGACACGGTCTCTTTAATACCTGCTCATATTTTCTTTTAGGAAATATTTCATTTTTACAATGATGTAACTGGGACTTCTATATACCTGATTGTTTCTGTTTTGTAGGTTTTCTGTGTGGGACAATTGATCTGTGCAGTGTTGGCTGACACCCCCGGACAAGCAAAGAAGGCAGCTGCCAAAGTGAAAATAGTCTATGAGGATATGGAGCCAGTGATTTTCACAATAGAGGTATGCAGAAGCCATTCATTACATACATTTATATATAACACAAACTAATGTGGCTAATTGATCTAACTTCTTCATTGGTTCTTCTAAATATTAACACTGCCAATACAGGAATCAGTAAATGTTCCTTTACACATCTGATTTCAGTAAAAAGCATAGCCCCTTTATCCTTTCATAGGCAATGGTACAGTGTATTACTGTAGTTTAATCCACTAGAACATTTTTTAACCATTTCATTACATTGCTAACAGGATAATTGCATGATGCGCAATAATTTTTTTTTCATCTCAGGAGGCCATTAATCACAATTCATTTTACAAGCCTCAAAGACAGCTAGAGGTGGGGAACTTGGAAGAGGCATTTCAGACTGCTGATCAGGTGCACGAAGGTAGAGTACATCTTGCTGTATTACAGGAATGTAGTGATCGATTCAGAAAAAGTATTTGCTTAAGAAAACTGTATATGGAGAGGCTTAAAGCCAAACATTCTGACAGATTTAAAGTAGTACTAAAGACTAACTGTTTTTCACCTTAATGCATTTTCTGCATTAAGGTAAAAAACGCCCTGCTACCTTTCCTTTTTTTTAAATGAACTAAATGGTACAATAAAAAAAACAAAAAACAGCATATGAAATAAATTGCCATATAGAGTGCTGATTTAAAATACAAAACATGTCACTTGTTTAATGTCACTTTAAGGTCTACATACATCTTGTACATACCTTCATTATAAACGAAAACTGTATTATGTACTTTTGCTTGATGGAGATTAAATGCAGACCAAAAGAAAACACATTCACACAAATTTACAGTAATGAATATCCTGCTAGAGTATTTCCATGGCCTGGGTGTTAAATCTGGAAGTTGGAAGAATTTCCCAATAAAACAGGGACACATTACATCTATTTGTCTGCTTAGACTGTATAGGCAGGAGAGAGCTATATTCTCAACTGGTGACTGAAGGGAACTAATATATATATAAAATAT